CTTCAGAGACAGGAGTTCTGGGCCTGGACCATTGCACCTGAGTATCAAAGTCAAAGTCAACATTTAACAGAACCCTTGCTTCCTACCGGGGTTTGAAATTGGCTCCCATTGTCCCCCCCCCCCCGCCCCCCGGGCTGCCTGCCTCCATATTAGATATTCTCAGAACTGGTGGCCTGTTCTGCTGCTTTTTCTTTCTCTCTAATTTATATGATAAATGCTGCATCCCCATCCTCTCCCTAATCCTCCTACGTAACATATCTGTTAAGTCTTAAAGCACACATTTATTCAGGAGAATTAGGATAAGGCTTACTGAACATGATTGTTGAAACTAAGAGCATTTTGGGATGAAAAATCTAGTGCAGCTCATTAGAGAGCCTAACTTCCTGATTTGTCTAGCACTGCTGGAAGGAGGAGGAGTCCTTTGGGAGCATTTGAACAGCCTGGACAAACATGTTTTTTCTTGAAAATTGTTTTAAAAAATTGACTGACTGTATCTGGGCTAGATTATTGAATTTCAAAGCAGATTAGATGTCTTTGTAAGATTTAAGTACTTTTTTTAAAAAATCAGTTTTTCACTGCTTCAAATATTGTCTTCTAACAAAAGTCTTTCTTTCTCTTAGCACGTTTTGTCCCATATAAGCCTCAAGATATTTTGCTAAAGCCACTATTGTTTGAAGTGCCGAGCATAACAACAGATTCTGTGTTTGTCGGAAGAGACTGGTTGTTTCAAACAATAGAGGAAACGTTGAAGAATCCCAAGCAGAACCAAACGAGGGGAGCTGTTGTAATTGGAAATGTGGGATTTGGGAAGACGGCTATTATTTCCAAGCTTGTGGCCCTTAGCTGCCATGGAAGTCGCATGCGGCAAATTGCTTCCACCAGCTCTGTTTCTCCCAAAAGTAGGTTTGAAAACTTTGTTTCTTTTTAAGTAGAAATACTTAATTCAGAACGTGGATGGATGGATGGATGGATGGATGGATGGATGGATGGATGGATGGATACATAGATATGCTTTTGTGTAAACATGTGCTCTATGGACTGCCATTTCTAAAGGGTAGTAACCTTCCATTAACTACTCATAAGATTGTTACCCTCCCCCCCTTTCTTTATTAATATGGAAAAACAAGCCCCTGCTTATTCATGTTGTCCGTTGTCTTCAAGACCCATCTGAGATTCATCAGGTGCTGCTTGACCGCATGCTTCTTAGCCCAGGAGTTCACAACCTGAAGCTTTTTTTTTTTTTCTAACCCTTCTAACCACGATATCAAAATTGGTGGCATAATTCCCCACCACCACCATTTTGAGGTGGGAAGCACATGAAAACTGCAATGTAACCCCTAAAATGCTTAATATTATTAAAAATCTCCCACCAAGCAAGATCAGAGAAATACAGAAAATCTTAACTTTGTTCATGCTCAGCCTACTGAAGCCTTTTCCTCCCCAAAGTCGTTGCAGTGGAGCCTCATTTACTGTCCTTCGGCGCAACAGATTTGGCATGCAGCAGTCCACATTTCTATAGCAATTTACATCATTTGAGTAATGCTGTCATTGTGTAAATGGTGCAAATTACATCATTGGCTTGTTCGTGTCCTTCGCATAATAACATCATTATGCAAATTATATAGAATGATGTAAATGGTGTAATTTGCTTCATGACATCATGCAATTGAACTGACATTCGTGAGTACTGGATACCCCCTCCCCAGAGTTAGTTTGATAAAAGGAGGTATCCTTCTAGTTGTGGCTTGGGGTTACTAAAGCTTCCTGTCCTAGAAGTTGATTTCATGAGTTTATATGGGTCTTCTTGGTCCTGTTGCCAGAGTAGTGAAATGAGCTCAGTTTTGAAAATCTTTTTCACTTTTGATGGTTGGAATCCATTAATGACTTTTCTGTTTCAACAGATTAATGAATTGCTTTTTCTTAATCTGTAACTTGAAATGTTTAAGAGTTTGTGCCATATATGTGTTTTCTGGCTTAATTTTTATTTGTACTTTTATCTGATTTGTATGTGGTACTGTAAATGGTCTGTTTTATACTGAAGGTGAAAGTTCTTTGGCCGCAAAGTTCACCTCCTTTTCAACTGTGCACTTTGTGCTCATTAATCAGGTCCTCTGATCACTTGCACTATTTGCTTGGATGGGAGATGAAGATGTGATTCCTTTCTGCTCCTTTCACTAGAGTGTGCTTTTTTTCCATAAGGATCCTGGATCAGGTTCTGAAAGCTGTAGGTCAAGAAGCTAAAGCTGCTTGAAAAAGGAAACTCTGAAGAAAATTACAGGAACCCAAAAGGGGAGAGCAAGTGAAAGGACCATTGTGTTCACGATGCCTCCTGCCATTCTCTTGGATCATGTTTTGGCAGGGATACTGAAGAGCAATTTCTCCTGGAGGCTGTAGTGAAAGAGTCTGTGGATCACGTCCAGATCCTAGTCAGTGTATGTCAGCCTCCTTTATCCGCATGGATAGGATTCTAAGTGCCATCTTATATGTGCAGGATGGATTTGAAAGCTGGTGACAGGAAGTTCTTTATCCTGTTTCCAGAAATGATGCAAGAACTGGTGTGTGAAGAGAGGACACAGAACTTCAGTCAGAGGCTGTTAGCTGCAGATAAAATTGTGGAAGGCCAGAAGAAATATAAAAGATGCCCAGGGAGCTCTGTGGGGCTAAAGGAGAAAATAAGCTCTAATTTAAAGGAAAAAAGTGAGAAGTCTGTAAATCATATAGTGAAGAGAAGAAATAATTTCATATTCTGTATCTCATGGGCAGATCCACAGATTCAATACTTATTTGCTTTCTTTCACAAGATGAATGACTCAGTACAAAATTTGAATTGGCTCAGTTGTGACTAATGTTCAGCACTGGGCACAAATTCTGCTTCTAACATACCATTCTACTCCCTCCCATTACACAGTCACGTGACTGCAATCCGGGCACTTGGCAACCAGCTCGCACCTATGGTTGCAGCGTCCCAGGGTCACATAATCACCATTTGTGACCTTCCCAGCCAGCTTCCGGCAAGCAAAATCAATGGGGAACCGTGTGATTTGCTTAATGACTGCGTGATTTTCTTAATGGCCATGATGATTCACTTAATGACCACTGCAAAAGTTATAAAATTGGGCGCCACTCGCCTAACAACTGCCCTGCTTAACAACAAATGTTCTAGTCCCTATTGTGATCTTTAAGCAAGGACTAATTAAAATTCTGATGTGAAGATAAAAACAGAAATCAGTGTAACATGGCACGATCTTGTGGGAGCTGGGGAAGAAGGTATGTGTGTGCATGTGCATGCCATCTCTGTAACCCAAAAGACTGAGTTTTAGTCCCGCCTTAGGCATGAAAGCCAGCTGGGTGACTTCGGACTAGTCATATTCTCTCAGCCCAACCCACCTCACGGGGTGGTTGTTGTGGGGAAAATAGGTGGAGGAAAGAGTGTTAGGTGTGTTTGCCACCTTGAGTTATTTACAAAAAAATAAAAATAAAGGCTGAATTAAAAAAAAATAAAATTCTTTGGAAATGCTGCTTGTTTCACTTAATCTGTCATGCCAAGTTTTTGTTACCAGAAGACTCCAAAGGGAAGCATAGCCATATATATTTGAATAAGTGTTTGGTATTCTAAAGACATTCAAAAGTTTCTTTTTCTTTTGTTTTTGGTTTGTTCTTCTGGCGTCATTGAATTAGAGTCCTGTGATGATGATGAGCATGTTACTGGAGTCATAACTGGTAACACATGAGAAAGGAGCGCAACATTCATTGTCTAGGTTCCTCTTGAAGACTAGACATCTCCAGCATGACAGATATATGATTTACACCACAGATGAATGTCACTGTTACAACTCTGGTATCTGCTTCTTCCCCCACAGCCAGTGATCCTTGTCAGGAGATTCCTCTCAGCCAGCTACCGCCTCCTCTTGTTGCTTCAGCTGGTGCCAGTCCAGCCAAACCCGTGGCATGTCCTCCTGCTCAGGAACATCCAAGCCAAATGGATGAACCAGTTAGACGCCTTGCCTCAAAGGTAGCACGTTTAATACTAAACAGCTCTTTCAGTCTTACGGAAGTACAGAAGCCGTGGTTTGCGAACATTCTCCCTGCAGCGTGGTGTATATATAACAATTCAGGGTGCTGGATAGATAGACAGGCCTGTGTCTCACCATTTTATTTTTTTAGTTTTAATAAAACCTGCTCTCTTCAGTGATGTGCTGTGCAAAGGCAGAGAGGAGACAGTGCACATCCTTGAGGACTATTTTTCCATTTTTAATTTTGCTGCTTTTCTCGCCTGACTGTACAATGCAAAGCCACAAATTTGTTTCCATTATGGGAATATTGTTTTTCTATCTGACTTTGGCAGTGTTAATCTGTAATTCCAAAGGAAACTACACCCCCTCCTCCTAATTTATTCAGTATAGCTTCTTTCATCATCTATTGGGAAGAGGAGGGGAAAAATAAAACATTGGATTTGGCAGCTTACGGTGTGTTCGTCATCGATGTATCTAACAGTTACGTAAAATAGAATTAGCAGATTGCACCAAGGATAATTCTAATGCATTTACTTTGGTAGGAAGGATTGTGAAAATAGGAAAGCCTCGCAATGGGTTGGAAATAAAAGAGGATTTGCTTTGGCATTGAAGTATTTACTAAATGCAATATTACGTAACTATCATCCTAATACTGTCATCCCCAGTGTCATGTTATGTTTAGAATTTGATAGCAAGCACGCACATTAATGTAATTTAATTTAATTAAAGCTATAGTCTTCTGCACCCTTACTTGGGATTACACTCTGTGGAATTCAGCTATACTTCTGAATAATGGAGAACAATTGCTGAAATTAAATTGAATGTCCCAACTGTGGGTGCACTAATTGAATGTACCTAAACTGTGGAGACTCCAGAAGGAGACTCATGACAATTATTTAATTTTTTGATATCACATTTTCAAATAAAGATAAAGTTGATTGTCAGCAAGCAAATAACATGTTAAAAAGCAAACAGATGAACAAAAATACAGACTCTACACTGGATTGTTTTGCCACTGGAGCAGAACTTTCTGGTTTTATTTACATATTGGCAAGAACTTCCCAGTGGGGCTAATGAAGTGCCATGTTTATTTCCCATTACTTAGCTATTTATTCTGGCTTTGGATGCAGAGTAACTGCTTCTTTTAGATTGCAGCACAGGATCTCTGATGTTGACCAAGATTTTAGGAGGGACAGTAGAAGCCTTTAAACATTTTTCCCTGCTGAAGAATTGATCCTGATTGTGGGGTGCTTTTGTTAGCAATTTGCATTGCCCAAAAAAGTTATATTCACTTCCTTGAAGGAAGTGAAAGGATGAGAAATTAGTTGCATGTCCCCGCCCCCAGCCCTGTTTAGATGTTGCCGTGGTAGACAGAATGTGTATGTGTTCTTAATCAAGACAGTGTTCTGTAGAATGGATGAAACTGATAATCAGTTTCTCTTGAGAACTCTGGTACAGAATATCACATCAATTATATCTGATGACTATCCAAGGACTTTTAAGACTTTCTGTAAAATACCAATAATAAATTAAAGAGAACTCTATCCTAAACATAACCTGAATATTCTCTAACACTCTTACGTAACTGTGTGCTGTACTATGTAATGCAGAAGATTATCTGTTTTGGAAAAGAAAAATAACGTTTTGTAGAGATACAGTATTTATAGGTGAATTAATACAGTTAAGAAAAAATGCCATATTGTGATTCTGCTGTTCCAAAAAAACAAAATAAATTACTCAGCGGTTGCATAGATGATTATACTAGATGTACAATGCCAGGGGCCATATATATTTAGCTAACGATGTAAAAATATATGCACGCACACTAAAGAAAAAAAATGTGCAAGTTTTAATGATTGTATGTTGAACCAGGGCAGTGAGTTCTGCATATACAGTTAGAATATTCTTCTGAGTTTTGTGTCTCAAATGATTTAAAGAACAATTAGAATGTATTCAGCATAGGGTTCTCCTTTTCATTATTTTTTACAGTTATCAACCAGAAATTCTAAACAGTGTTTTTTTTAAAGGTCGTTGCCTATCACTACTGCCAAGCTGACAACACTTATACATGCCTTGTCCCAGAATTTGTGCATAGTATCGCAGCTCTACTTTGCCGATCACCTCAGTTAACAGCATACAGAGAACTTTTGATAAAGGAACCGCACCTACAAAGTATGCTTAGCCTTAGGTCCTGTGTTCAAGATCCCGTGGCGGCATTCAGAAGAGGCGTGTTGGAGCCACTAGTGAATCTTAGGAAAGGTAAGCAGGAAAAATGTATGTGGTCAATATGGAAATTTCATAGCAATGGACTGGGGAACAGTAGAGAGTTCTCCTTTCTTTGAAAGAGGGCATCAAATATTATACCAGAATGAAACAGGATGGAGGTGATATTATTATTATTATTATTATTATTA